CACGTAGACAGAAAGAACTCAAGTCAGCCGTATAAATGTTGAAAAGTATAGGGGAAAGGACCCCACCTTGAGGAATCCCACTCTGGAAAGAAAAAATATCTGAGTACGAAGCATTAACGCGTACTTGATAAGTCCTACCCGTGAGAAAAGCTTTTATCCATTCATAAACATTATCATGAAACCCTAGCTTGCTAATTTTGAATAGTAATTTCGAGTGGCTGACCTTGTCAAAAGCTTTGGTGAAATCAAAAAATATAACATCTATACTTTGCTTGTTGTCCAAGGCTACAGTCCAGTCGTTGAGCGTTTCCAAAAGATTTGTACTAGTTGACCTCCCCACAACAAAGCCATGCTGAGAAACAGGAATTATTTCATTCTCAGCAAGATGATGAAGGATGTGTGTTTTCAGCAACTTTTCAAAGAGCCTACAGAAGAAAGAAGTGATACTTATTGGCCTATAGTTAGAAATATCCGATGATGGCGCTTTCTTAAGGACTGGGGTGATATAGGAATGTTTCCATAATCGTGGCACTTGCGAGTACATTATGGATTGATTATATAAATATGAAAGTGGAAACGCAATGGCCTGAGCAACATTTTTAATGAATTGGAAAGGAATTCTGTCAGGAGTTGTAACGTACGAGCATGGCCATTTTATGAGAAGACTGTACACATCCCTTGGATCAAAGTACGGAAAGGACTGCATTTTAGAAGAGACAGTGGGCGAAAATGAGGGTAAACCGTCATTGTCTTGTTGAAATGCTTTACTGAACTCAAAGGCAAACGCATTGGCTTTATCGCGGTCGTTCAGAAGTAGTCTGCCTTCATACCTTAAATCCGTAAATTGAGATTTCTCGCGCAGCCTAGATCTCATGAATTCTGAAAAAACGCTGCTTGTCCTTAGCTTCAACAATTTTCTTTTCTACATTTCTGTTGAATTTCATAAGTCTTTTGGTGAAAACTAAGGAGAATCTGTTGTACTCAACCCAGTCGCCGGTCAGTTTGGCATATTGAAACAGGCATTCTTTATGTTCAGACATGTTGCGTAAATATTCCGGTAGGTTGCGCTTATTCGGATAGACGAGAGCCCAGGGACGAACTGATCAATAGTGTGATTGAGTATAGAAAGGAACATTGAATACTTATCATCAACCGTGGATAGGGTTTCAAAGGATTCAACCCATAGGATACTAGAAAGATAACTGAGGACACGGGAGTAGTCACATTTATGAAACAGTCTCTTGAAAACTGGCAAACAAGGAGGAAGAGATGCAGTAATATCAAAAGAAATGCTGGAGTGATCACTTTGCCCAAGAGCAGAATTAATTGCGATATTGTTAATAAGGTGCTGATCATTTGTAAGCACTAAGTCTAATATGTTTTCACCCCTTGTGGGCTCCTTTGACAAACTGTGAGAAACCGTGATATGCAAAAGTTTCCGTGAGAGGGTGCGAATTTTCACTATTGGGATTCCATTGTGCCCAATCAATTTCTGGCATGTTGAAATCACCAATTACAATAACAGGGCATGAAGCAACGGATAGATCACTGATTGCTTTAGCTAATTGTTCTGTAATGTGCAATGGTGTCGATGGTGGCCTGTATACTAAAACGATCCTGACACGAAGTTCAGGGGCAGCAAAATCCAACGCTAGTATTTCGTACCCCTTAGGGAAGGACTCGGATAAGATAGTGGTATAATTAACCGTTTTTCTGATCATCATAGCAACCCCTCCACCAGTTCTGCGCGCCCTATCACAACGTACAATAGAGTAATCACTAATCCAATCGCTGAGCATGGATGGGACAAAATGGGCTTTTTTAACCAAGTCTCAGTGAATAGATAGAGATCGAACCTATCACGGATGGCAAGGTCAAGAAATGAACAATTCTTCGGAAAGATCTAATGTTCGAATAGAATACTGAAAAGTTCAACGAATATGCACAACCATTATCATGATGAACATCAATAACATGCCGGAGGAAAGGAAATCAGTTTCCCTGTGATGCGAGTTGGAATGTGAAAAAGCATCTGAAGTGTGAACACCAAGTGCTTGATGACTGGACTTTTGATAATGAAGACGTTCTTCTCGACGTCTTTTTCTCTCGGCTTCGCTGAGGGACTCCCTAAGGAATACCCCTTTTTCCGAGAAAAAACGAAGTCGAGGAGCACGCCGCACGGCTATACGTTGGTAATATGAAGAAGGCATATGACCTTAAGCAGTCTATTTTTCCCCTCAATGGGCCTTCCTAATCTATACACAGCTAATGGAAACAACCTACATCAAGGTGACATAACACATTGAGAACACTGTGATAATCATAGTTCAATTTCCTAAAAAGGTCGCAGTTTTTCAACTCAGGAATACCAGCTATTATGAGTGACCTTTTACGTTCTAGTTCGATATAATCAATATTGACAGCCGACGGCGGTGAAGGGTCAACATGCTCAGTATCAATGTCCGTACAATCCAAGGAAGTGCCAGGGGAATCCCTAATTTCTTACGGAGTAAAGCATTCTCAGCACGAAGCTGGTCACGTTCATTTTTAACATCATTCAATTCCTTCATCAGAGAGTTAAGTGCGGACTTGACGCAGTCCGGGACCAACTGCGAGGAATTGACCTCCCTCATGGCGCTCTCTAGTGTTGACGAGTGGGAGCTGGTGACAGTGGCGAAGTGGACGGGCATGATCTTTTGGTACCTTTAAATGAAGCGCGTGGAGTGTCCATAGTGAAAAAGCCAGGAAACTATACGAAAAATAGAAGAAATACACCTTATCGTACGACCCGAACAAGATGAGAACTGATCACGGGTCGTTCGTGACCAACGCAAATCAGATATCGATCCTCCTCTATAACTGGATCCAATGTACAAAAAATAGGAAAAGTGAGTAGTAGAAATACTCTCCTGCACAAAATACACAAGAGAATAGTGGCAAGAGGCCGTTGGGAGTAGTGATCCAATAAAACCAGTAGAATGTGCGACTAGCAGCGAAAATACGAATATCAGTAGTATTGGTGCAAGAGCAACCAGAAACGTCGCGTCGCGAATTCTTGTGGCAATTAGGCTTCTCCACACAAGTCGAGCTAGTTTGTAAGGTATCAGAATGAAGAATGTGCCTTCAAATGGCATATACTTATTCTATTTTCACTGCTAGACACACATTAAGGAAACCTGCGAATGAGGGTAGAAAGGCTGAAAAAAAAATCCAAAAAATCCATCGAGTTATCCCCTCCACCATCCGACTCGCGCCCGACGGGAGCATTGTGACGACCCGCTGACAAAAAACATCACTGTTGCGCCTCTGGATGCCAGTGTTACTACATAATACTTAGCATTCTGACATTATCTCAACTATTACCCCCCGCGAAGCCCTAAATTAACCGAGCACCTCATAAACTATGCATGCTCGAAGATACATTCAGAACTAAGCTCATAAGATAGTTGAAATGACCCATTCTTGTCAAATTTTTTTCGCTCAGTTTTTGACCTCCTCAGAAACGCTTTGGCAAAAATGGAAGCCCATTCCCGTGATGCTTGTCGAATGGGCACCATCACCTGAACCATTTCCAAAAAAGCGCCGCCATCGACCCTGAAAACCTCATTGTGCGAAAAAAAAGACCTCCATTGTCAGAACCGTGCAAGTCTTGTCTGCTGCGGGATGATAGGGCGTGTCAGTTTTGTTGGGTTGTCGGTTGTCGCTTACTCACTTAAACAATTGTTGGAAAAATGGTTGGTGCGCCGTCAGTTCCCCACGAATTGTTGAAGCGTGTAAGCGACAACTGTTGAAAAAGGACTGATACAAATGAGATGATACAGTCTTGTCGCATGCTGAAAGAAAAAAAGAAAAGATGAAAAGATGCGGTTGGCAAAGCGCCAGACCCATGCCTTCGACACGCTTCCGAAGATTGTGACAGCTATTGACGATTACTGATAAGTCCGCTTTCCTTCTACGGTCACCGCGAGCTCATGCTTTTCCAGACCTCACGGCCTCACCTCATATCCTTGTCTTCTTGTACTTGACTTTTTCGGATACAGATACCTTCTTCAAGTTTCACAAAACATTCCATGGCTCACTGGTGCCAACCCCTATCGTGTGAGCTCTGAGGGCCTGTGAGCTTAACTGACATGGGTTTTTAGTTCAGAAGGGGAACTTTTTGCTCCCTCCAGTGAAAAATTCAGTGGATAGCCGGTACATAAGTGACTGACCTGTTTTTACAAGATTGGAACACCAGAAAGGGTGAGTAGTCCTAGTTTTCACTTGCCGCTAAATCAACAGGAGATAACGATTATATCCTCGGCCCTATTCACCCTTTTTCGAATTCTCTGTGAAAAACTTTCTCACGAAGACTTCAGGAAGTTTAGAACAATTTACATTTTTGCAGCTTTTGAAAGAGTTCCAAAAAATGCACTCATTTGGGCTGCATGTAAAAACTTGGGAAGGTGGTAGGTAGGATGGGGGATGAGGAAGTCAAGCTGCTCGTACATCAGAAGCAATTTCAATTTTGGTGGTATTCCGCAAAAATCAGCAACAGCACGACGTGCTCTGATTATAATCATAGGCCAGCAAGTAGGCTGGCCAGCTCCTGCGCTTCACACAGTGTAAGATCCTGCCTTGATTGTTAATGTCTACGTACTGTCAGCTCCAAGAAATGGACGAAGACGTTCTACTGCAACGAGATTATGGCTTTACTATGGAAATCAATCAGCGCATAGATAAACTCCTTCATTGTCACTCTTAGACTGCACATCACCACAGCTACAACAAAATCTATTCAGTATTTTTTCAGTATTCGGTAATCTTACTCAGTGTTCTCCGATTCTCTCGTGTTGTAACCTCTTGTCGTTCACTCTGTTATAGTTGTGAAGGATGATCTGCTGCTCGAGGTCCTTCTGGCTCAACGTCTTGACGTGGCCGTTTTCCCCAGAGGCCCATACCTGCTCTGAAATTTAGGAGCTGAACACTACCCCGTCAAGACAGCTGACACATACGGATGTCACTGTCAATTCGCAGTATATGTAGTAGTGCATAGTGCGTATGAACGGCAAAGGGTTATTGGTGAATGCTCATCTCGGTTGTTGATCCCCGGATTCTAAAGAGTTCAGAGCACCTCTGATGCTTTTCTTGCCGAAGTCTCCTCTTCCTGCGCTAGTACTGTGCGCTTGGTTTCGATATTCTTGTCATACTGATCCTCTATTTTATTTCTGTCAACGCCATCGTCGTAAGCCGCCCGCGCCTCATGGCAACAAAGGCGTTTTGTTACTCGTATACATAATGGTTTCTCTGTCTCTTCGTCTTTTGTAGGTGTCTTCTGTTTCTTGTATGTGCGGGCTTCTATTTAGAACATCACGACCAATTATACGCAGTCACCAACTCCCCATTTGGACATGCACCGTTTGTCGAGAGTTGCTTTGTACTGTGGGTTGTTCGTGTTGTTGTTATGAGTCATTAAGTCTGCGGCAACATTGCTTTATGTGTGCTCAGATAATTCTCCCTGTTTTATGCTGTGCTTGTCGTACGGGAGATGAAAATGGAGACGGACGGCAGTTTTTTTGGCGTGTTAGGAGTTTCCCATTTATTGTAATGGCGCTGTTTATCATAATCATGGTAGTATTAATATAGTGCTTCTCAGGGAAGTCCGGTCCAACTTTACATAGGGACTTCGAAGGGAGACCTGGGTATAGATCGTAGAGGCTATAGGTGAGTTAGGACGAATTAATAGATAGTGGAACTGCGATATTCCTGCATTTCTTCTAGCACTTTATGGCAGGGGGTAATTTTTGAGGATATTAGGCTTGAAGCTTGTGGTGAGCTGTGAGCATTAAGCGATGAAAGCGCTACGTCGAATCGATCGTGTGGTGTCTTAAAGCAGCTCCCGCGTAAAAGTCTCATGGATGCTGCCCTTTCAATTGAAGCGTAGCTGATAAGTATCTCCCATTAAGCAACGGCAGCGCGTCTCCGAACACATACAAAATGCATCCCTCCAGTCACACCTCCTGCTTGTCTCTGTGCACCCTCTAGTCAAAATCTCTCATATAACATTCGCAGTAGTGTATCATCAGTGCAAAAAATGAATACAAGAAAACAAAAACAACAACGCAGAGGAAAACTTCTGGAAGGAAAAGCGTTTTATCACGCGGTGGTGTCTGAATCTTGGGGCTTGCGTGTAGCCGTACGTTTTGTGGTCGAGGTTCTGCACCACGAAAATTGCGTAATCGTGCTTTTACCGTTATCTGCGAATAAGTTGAATTGACGTATATACTCATATGAGTAACGTATAAAGGGGAGCCAAATTGTCTATGTCATTAGCAATGCCCGCCGCCCCAACTAAGAACAACTGAGTGGCCTCCGTCGGAGGACATCTAGCAAGTAAGGCGGTCCAACTGAGCAGGCGTTAGAACTAGAACTTACAGCGGCTGTAGCTCGCTTCTCGCTCGCTGTGCAGACGAATAGAGTGGGACAGTCTCTAGCTTGGGCTGTACTACTTGCCAATGGAGCATGACGACATGTGTTACTCGAGCGCGGGGGCTGTCTTTAAATATAAGTTTGGCTTCGACGGCTCGTTCGATCGTATGCGATTCATCTTTATGCTTCCAGCTCACATCAACCTTTTTCTACTTATTCGCAAATACCTTATAGATATTCGGATGTTAGAGGTCTCCATTCGAATTTAATGGTAATGGGGTGTTCCTTTGTTAGCGGCTATCTTACAAACTAATAGGTGGCATGTCTTGATGTTAAATTGCGCCGTACACATTTTGCTGGTCTAGGCATGTTGTTAACACTAGCATTTGAC